TTCCCTAACCATTACAAAATATCAAAAATGCACAACGTTAATATTCAAGTTTTCACTTCTGCCGGCACTCCCGGAGTGCAACCCGTCGTTTTTTTTTTAATTCAAGCTATCATCTATATTATAAACATTCATAATATTAACATGATAAATAAGTAACAAATGAGTTACATGTATGTACGTCATTGTAGGTATAAGCAGCATTATGTATTATGACATTTGTAACATACTGTCCACTGTCCAGGCTTAATTTCCTGAATAAATGAATATTGACGAGACTTAATCACAACAAAAAATATTTTCATAACGTTCGTAATTCAAAACTGAGTATCGGCTATAAGGATATCATAATGCACCATTTAAATTTACCTCACATAACGGATTGTTACGAAAGACTTTGATGCGTTGACGTGCGCTGACGGACGGCGCAACGAGCCGCTGACGCTTTTAAAAAGTAACATTACAAGATAAATGAAAGGCTGTTTAAAGAAAAAATAATTACCCAATACGTCCGCAACACTGGTTATCAAGCGCCTGTTTAAACGAAATTTTAATAACGCGCGTAACGGCCGATTACTGCAGTCGTTTTTCAAGATGGCCGAAACAATCGATGATTATTACATGATGCGGCATACGAGTCGTCTTTTTTTTCATGCTCTTTTTGTGCGAAACTCGACTCCGATTTCCGAGTATAAGGATGATAGCTTGTAATATCTCAACTTTATTATCTAAAACTTATTGTTAACCCGAAATTGAAGTGCCGGCTGCGCCCATGCCCATCTTGGCCCATTTTAATCTTATTTTAACGGCTCTTTATTATTAAATAAACAATTAATATTAGTTGAGTTTGAGAGTTCGAGAGCTATAATATCATGAACTGAAATTCGCTAAGTGCTGCTGCTCTTGGCCTGTTCCTATCGCCAAATATGTAAATTGCGGTATGAGTGAATAAAACGCTCCTAGACACCAAATTGAGTGAGTTATTGTGTTAAAATAAAACGAAAACTATAAAAAGAAAAGAAAATTTTATCTTTCTTTCATACTTGTTTTGCTTTACTGAAACTGTTACTACAAATAATAAAAAGTTCTTCCGCTGTTGCATATTAAAGATAGATTAACACATTTGAAGACTTTGTTTGTAACCTTCGTGGCCGACAGGCCGAGTGGTTTGTATACCGGGTTTCATGGTGTCGCCGACTTTAGAGGTCCCGGGTTCGAATCCCGGTGGGGGCAGACGTTTGTGTGATGAATACGAGAATTTGTACTTATTATTTGTCGACCTCCGTGGCCGAGTGGTTTGTACGCTTGAGTACAAGTTGATTGGAGTACAAATGCTCGTATTCATCACACAAACATCTGCCCCCACCGGGATTCGAACCCGGGACCTCTCGAGTCGGCGACAGCCATGAAACCCGGCGTACAAACCACTCGGCCACGGAGGTCGCCCTTTTTGTATGGTAGTTCTCTGCGTTAGAACTACCATACAAAAAGAAGGCGATCTCCGTGGCCGAGTGGCATGCACGCCGGGTTTTATAGACTAGAGCCGCCAACCAGAGAGGTTCCGGGTTCGAATCCCGGTGGGGGTAATGTTTGTGTGATGAATACGGCATTTGTACTTCAGTCATGGATGTTTAATATGTATATCTATATAAATATACTTATTTATGTACTTTACATGCATTCTATCCGTTATCCTAGTATCCCATAACACAAGCTTTACAGTGCTTACTTTGGGGATAGGCTAATTGGTATGAGTGTTGGAAATATTTATTATTTATTTATTTGTTAAAAATAAAAATAGATCGGTATGTCAACGCAAAGATGCTACCGTTTGCACTCCTATTTGACCTTCTATAAATCATAAAAACTTTGTTGACCCTCCTCATCCCGATTTACTACATACATAAACAGAGCTTTGAAAGCAACGTCGGTCGCTTGTCGCGTCCCTCGTTCTATTCAAATATTGCGGTTGTAAACGTACACACAGCCTTTAAGGCCTTTAAGACTTTGTTTCAACACAATCCGTTTACAAAGTATAAACCTCACTCGGGCATAGTTAAAAGGGCGTGAGCGGCACCCACAGTCAGTCAGTCTCAAAAATCACATCGTTCCGGCACTTTTGGATTTAGAGTGATACAATGCGTGCAAAGCTCCGTGTGCGCTCGGAATGATGTAGTGTTACAGCACATTGTACAACGTGGTTAGAGGAAAGTTGACTGGTGGATTGTTTCACGGTGCGGTCGGAGAATGCGGTTCGTGAGAAAAAAAATACTCTCGCTTCCGATGCGCTCGAATAGATAAGCGCAGGTGGTGAACGCTTGCACCCCGCCCGCCCGGTTCATATTTTAGAATACATTACGCTGCATTTTTTTTCTGTCGATCGAAATTTAAATGAGTAATTCTCAAAGGGAACAAACAATCTTTTTCTTTTAAGTTTCTTTTTATAGAAACCCATTAGACACCAATGGTCTCTATTTAAAAATCTATCTACAAAGATTTTATAATTGTCAAAATGTTATAAATATTTAGTTGCAATTTGTATACCTATAGGTTAAGTAAGTTAGTTAGCACCAAATATTGTTTCTTTTTAATATCGAATTGAGTAAAAATATTTTTATGTAAGTATAAATTATAAAAATCCAAACATTTACAGTTCAATAAAGAATATCAGAAGCTTACTTTTTATATAAGCTTTATAACTTTTCCTTATTTGTGCAAGCTCATTTACAAATAAGTACCTAGTTAATTCTAATAGTGTCCACTAGAACAATGTAAATCTGTTATAAAATATTTTTTTCTATCATCCTCAAAAATCTACTTTGGGCTACAATAAATAAAAAGTATAATGACACCGAAATCCGGAGGCCGATTCTTAGAACTTCACAGTTTTTTTAGTGAACGGCTTTATAAATCCAGTAGCGGGGTAGCAGCTGTTATTTGTCATGTTTTATTATATTTTTTTTATATATTCTATAACGAGTGTATTATCATCAATATATTATTGTTCATGGGTGTGTGTCACATTCTAATCACGTCTCGTTATTATTCTTAAATACACTTTCCAACTAATAAAATCTTTTTAAGATTTGAAATCAATACACAGTTAAAAAAAACATCACAATGTCTTCAGCATAAATTATGGACACACACACAGCATATATTGAAAGAAGTACGTAATAAACGAACCCATGTAAAGGCTCGTTTTTTATCATTCACCCTGTCAGTGCTGTCAGGAATCGAGTTTGGAAACTCCGAGATTGCAAAACCTAGTTAACACTGTTCTAGTGGAACTCATTTTACAACTTTATTTAAGGGAGGTAGGGCTGCTCGAATTTGAGCGCCCGTCTGGGTGCCCTTCACCTTAGAGAAGACAGTAAAATAACACTACCTTTGGTGGTGTTGTGTTACTGCTGGTGAGTAGGGTTCCAGGGCTCCGCCGGGTTGGGTATTGGGTTCAGGCAAGGTGCGGATGGCTGGAGTGGAACACTTTCTGCCGTATCATCTATATTCGCGACTAGACTCCACTTAACATCAGTTGCGGGGGAGGGGAGGGGGGGATTTGTTCAATTAGAGCAATCTATGCGGTGTTGTTAATTATTTTGATGACCTCCGTGGCTTGAGTGGTGTGCACACACAGCTTTTCAAGGTGTCGCCTACACAGAGTCCTGAGTTCGAAACTCGGTGAATGTTTGTATGATGAATACGAACACTTGTACCGATATCTTGGCTGTACATTAATATTAGGTCTTAACGTATGTAATTATCGTTTTTCATGAAATAAATTAACCCCCTTATTTTTCTATATTTTCATACTTTTATTAATCAAAATAATTACCCATGCAATCAATGCATGTTTACCAACGTAAATAAATAAATAATTATTTCCAACACTCACACCCAATCAGCCTAGCCTCAAAGTAAGCACTGTAAGGCTTGTGTTACGGGATGCTAGGGTAACGGATAGAATACATATACAAGAATATTTATATAGATATACATATTAAAACATCCATGAATGCAGTACAAATGCTCGTATTAATCACACAAACATCTGCCCCCACCGGGATTCGAACCCGGGACCTCTCGAGTCGGCGACACCATGAAACCCGACATACAAACCACTCGACCAAGGAGATTGTCAACCTAGTAGTAGCTTATTGATGTCCTTTTTGAAAAAGTCTGATGGACGGGAGGCAACAAATTTCAGTCTTTTTATTTTCAATTCTTCAAAGGCATTTTGAACTACCTCTTGGTTATTTAACTTTTTCCCTGCTTAGAAGTTATCAAATTCTGGACAAGTAAAAGTCTGTAGGGGCAAGGTCTGGTGAGTTCGGTTTATGGCGTAGAATTTTCAACCCCGGCTCTTGTAACTTGAAGACCGTCTGCTATGAAGTATGAGACCGCGCGTTGTCGTGCAGGAGCAGCGGAGCTGAACGATTAACCAAAGTTGGTTGGAGATGTGCTTGCTTCTCGGTCATTATGATCAATTCTTCACATTACACATCTACAGTTATACTCATCCCGTTTGGTATTGAAATAGCCAGTACAACAGAAAGGCAATTACATAGATTACCTATTATTTCGAGAAAAATATATTTGTCATACATGTATGTGTAGCCGATACGCTAGTCTCCCGGGGCTATAGGCTGATTGGTGTGAGCTTTAGAAATATTTACTTCTCATCATCATATCAACCTATTAATGCCCCCGCTAGGGCACAGGCTTTCCCTATGGATGGAATAGGATGACTGTGTTATGAACTACTACGCGCACCTAGTGGATTTGTGGGTGCAGATGCAGCCGGGACCAACGGCTTAAAGTGCCTTCCGAATCACTGCGGAGCTCGAAATAGTAAATTTTTGGTCACTCATCCATTGACCGACCATTGCAGAAGTTGCTTAAATTCAACGATTGCAGCCAAACGCGCTGAGCACTTGCACCATAGATCGCTTCATGGAGCTATTTATTTATATATGTTCTTACTAAGTTTTTTCCATCCACAGGTTGAGCCAACAGGCTCGGCCTCTCTCGGCGCGGCTTCGCGAGCTCTGTTCGTGGAGAAGGTGCGGGCGTCCAACGCTGCCTGCCAAGCTGGCGACTTCGCCACCGCTGTCGCCTTGTACACTGACGCGCTCACACTAGACCCAGCCAATCATATCCTGTATAGCAACAGGTATTTATTGGCAACAATATAAATGATGACTAACCTCCTCGTACATCAGGGTAGATTATCAAAATGTATTGGACACGTATTTTTTCATTATTCACATAATCAAAACATTACAAAATATCACATCGCGTCACGTCTTGGTAAAAAAATTACTTAGAAGTGACGTCACTGTTGGACATCACTATCGTATGTGTCAAGCCTTAGGCATCTCTCCCCTTTAGATTGATTTGTCTATGTCACCTGTCTTTGGTGTGCGAATAAAATGGCTTGTGTTGAAATTGACAATTTGCTGTATTTTAATTCGATGTAATCGTCCTATCCTCTGCTATTGAATCCCAAAAGCCCTGAGCTTCCACTCCCAAACTTTGACGCGCTTTATCTTTGATATATTTTGGTTGATTGATTAAAAAAAAATTAGTGTCCATTTTTTTTGATGATGTAACTGACGGACTCTATAGATTTTTATCCAGTAAATTTTCTTTCGATTTCTGATTAATCTTATTGTTTAGGTCTGCAGCACGTCTGAAACAGGGACAGTTTGCAGCGGCACTCCAAGATGCGTCTCGAGCAAGGGAGCTTTGTCCCAACTGGCCAAAAGCGTACTACAGGCAAGGTACGAGTGCAAGGTCGTATGTGCAAGATTTTTATTTTCTTTCGTTTGTTCGAATTTGTAATCCTGTGGGTTAATACAATAATGAGTACGTGATTAACGCAAAATGATCCACTCGTAAAAGAGGTGTTAAAAATAAAGAAACTTAGGGAACAGAGGAACAAGAGTAAAGTAAAGACCATGTAAGAACTTAGATAGTCAGGTTAGTAGTCACTGTACACACATTTATATTAACTTTTATTAATGGCATGGCATGGCTCATAAAATTATAAAAACAGAGTTAAAGAGAGCTAGGGCATAGCGGCTTTTCCGCTCAAATCGGAGTGACAGCTGAGGAAGTAACCTCCACAAAGAACACTACATTTTGGTGGTGTGGTATTTCTATCAGTGAGTAAGGTTCCAGGGCTTCACGGGGATGAGGATTGCGTAGGTAATAACCCCATTCCCCACTCCGTGGTGCCTGGAACCTTAATCATTGACAGAAATACAACACCACCAAAAGGTAGGGCTTAGAATATGACAAAAATAAATACCTAATACGCAGATTAACAGTTCTATTCGAATCAATTCCGACTGCACATGTTTAGCCATCAGACGAAGAGATATGGACAGGGTCTTCAGCCATACGTGGTCGCCATACTGCGCACCTCACGATTTGCATCCTTCTTTATCATGCAAACCGCTAGGGAATGGAACTCCCTTTCGGTATCTGTACTTCCCAATACATATAATATTTACATACATATGATAAGGGACCTTCAAGGCAAGAGTAAATAGGTATTGTTTGAGTTTGCGTGCTCCATCTTAGGCCTCATCGCTGCTTAACATCAGCAGTGCTATTCTGTAAAATTTACACACGCGGTACCGATAAAGATCCACATCGGATCCACGTGTGAAAATTTAACAGAATAGCAATGCAGGTTATTAAAAAAAGCGGCCAAGTACGAGTCGCACTCGCCCATGAAGGGTTCCGTAGCAGCAAGTAACATAATATAAAGCTCTTGTTGTTCGTTGTAATTTTGATCGATGTTTTAATAATAATGTATTTTTTAAAGGTAAATTGCGGTTAACGATTTATGACGTATTAAAAAAACTACTTTTTGTTTCTTAGGTTTTCACGCACATCACTCATTAAATAAAACTAGTTTTTTACGGGTTAATGCACGAAACTTTGTTTATTTATTAAATTAAAAAATACTTACTAGATCGCATTCAAACCAATTTTCGGTACGGGAGGGGCACATTTTACGAATTTGGAAGTCTTTATGGGTTGGAAAGATTTATAATATACTAAGTATGGGGAACATCCAAAAACTATGTTTTTTTTTATTTTTGTGTGAAAATCGTAATGCGATTCACAGAATACATCTACTACAACACCAAGTATAGTTCTTACGGTTTAGGACAAACATTAACGCGTACTTCTGATATTCTGATGCGGTATATAAATTAATCATCTATCGATATTAATTCAGTTTGTGTGTAGCGTGCTTACAACTTGTTGCCGCCATTGTATTTATGAAAGTTTCACTTTCACTGACAAATGTAATGTAGTTTGTTCTAATTCGTCCGCGAATGTTTTAAACGATTAATCGAATATAAAATACACTACAACATAATAATACACTCTTTTTAATATTTCTCTCCTATAGAGTATATTAAATATACATAGACATAGTGAATTAGTGGATTGAAGTAAAATACTGCGGATATTGCTTCTCGAATTGTAGCGCTCATCTGGAGAAGTAACATCCACCATACCGGAGACCACAGTTAAATAACACTACCTTTTGGTGGTGTTGTGTTTCTATTGGTGTGTAAGGTTCCAGGGCTTCACGGGGTAGGGGATTGGCTTAGGCCTACCCTTAGGTAGGCAACGGTGCAAGTGATATTTTTGGCATCGCAACTATGAGGCGGGCCATACCCTTGTGTGCGTGTATAATCTGCGTGCCCAGATTATTAAAATCATAATAAAAATGAATTCATTTGAGAAGACTTTAGAATCCTGTAAGTGTTTCCTCAACGCCTTTAAACATTATTTACCAACTTTCTTGTTCCAATAATATGTTTGTACTATTGATGATGGCACTCTCTTGATAAAACCACGCTAAATAACTCTGCCATGTGATACCGGTGCTACGGTACCTAGGTAAATTATCTCCTTAGTCCTCCTGACCACACGTGTTAACAGCAAAAAGATGGCTGCGATAACACTGCTGCGATGGTCTCTGAACTTCGAGCAAGCTAACACTTACTATTTACTACAATGTAGCTTTTAGTTTTACCATACAACACGAAATCTGAACAAACAAAAATGTTTGAGCGTTCCTCTAAGACTACTGTTCTCTTGACTTTATCTCGTGATTGTCCTTAGAGTATTAGAAAGACGCGAGTCAGAAGTTTAAGCAAGACCTAATATAGTAACTAATATCTATTCTTTTTACTTGATTTAGTTAAGAAGGTTTGCCAGAAATGCATATTTTTTTAATCCTTCCATTGATCTGCTCCTTTTTTGGAATTCGCATATGTTTTCACCATTCCATGCAGAACTCATTTCAACTATTTACTTATAAGAGTAAAACAAAATATGTGCATTTCCTTAGGTGTGGCGTTACAATGTCTGGGCAGGCACGGCGAAGCCCTCGCTGCGTTCAGCTCTGGCCTGGGCGTCGAGCCATCATCGAGACAACTCCTCGCAGCGTTGGTGGAGGCCTCCCTCAAGTCTCCGCTCAGAACCACCCTGGAGCCCACCTTCAGACAGTTGGAGGCAATGAAGTTGGATCAATCACCCTTCGTCCTTATATCAGTGAGTAAACTTGACCTTGCATTTGCAATGATTTTTTTTATTTTAAACTAGCCGACTCAGCGATCTTCGTATCGCTTACAATATTTTTGAGGAAATGTAAGCCATCCGTTCGACATGAAGACAGCTTTATCTCTTTTTAATACATTTTTCTAACAATATGGCCGTTATTCCAGAATAAGCAACTGCTACCCCAATGTCAGATTTTACATGAACAGTTTCAATCGTATCATTAGATTTCCATAAATATCTAGTAGGAAATTACAATATAATATCTGAGTTACTAAAATAAATATCGATATATATTATACATATATATTATATATTATGAATCGTCTAAAAGTATGTACGCGTATCACTTCCGAACAACAAACCGACAGAACCAAATTGTGACACAGATGACATTTTCTTTTTAATAACTATGAAAAATACGGCGAAAAATCTCTTCACGAATCGAATACACAATACCATCGTAATTCCTAAATTAATTAATTATTTAAAAAGAAATTTCGTATTGATTTTTTAGCTTGCCAGGAATTCTTCATTAAAAGTAATTTTAAAAATTATTCTGCTGCTTTTTTTATTGTTGTTTGTTTCTATAAACCTTGTCCTGACAATAAGGAACACAATAAAAAACAAGAATTATCCAATTTGGTTCAGTCGTTCGGAAGCGATGCGCATACATACCTTTCGAAGATTCATTTTTATATACGTATGTATGGTAGATGTGGTATGCAAACCTGTTTAAAAAGCAAATCCCGATGATAGATATTTTGTTATTCAAATTATTATAAGAAAACTATAAAACCTTCACGTAAATGAGCTAAATAATTCAAAATCTTTTGTAGGTATCTATATAAAATATTCAAAAACCTCTAAAACAATCAACGAAAAATATGGACTCACTATATTTGGTCTTAAAACATGTTTTGTTTTACTTCAAAAAAGATCAGAAGGACGCGCTAAACCCTTATAAAATATTGTGTGAATCGGGGAGCTGTCAATGCATCGAATTTAAGCTTATTTATGCCATCGCTGCAGTGCGACCGACATCTGATACCTGAATGTATACGACTCAAAATAACGACAACCATTTACGTCCGGTCTTGGAAATGTGCTGGTTCTGGTTGTCTGTCACTGACTCCGTTCTTGTTTCCAGTTCCTATCTAGAATTATCTCGCGAGAGATGAATGAACAACACGTTGGTTTTAAAATTATAATCTGATATTTATAGCCGTAAGTAGGAATTGTTTATGAAATGAGGTATGGGAGATTCTGGGGAAATCCAGGTTTATAAATATCTAATCACTGTGACCTACAAAAAGGTATGAAACTTATTTTTATTAAAGCATCTGGTTAACCTTCTTACGAAGAATATTGTTATATATTTTTATCGGAAAAATTCGATGTCGATCAGTTGAGCACTGCAGTTTGAGTAGATTAGAGATCACGCTTGCACAAAGAACAAAACGTTTAACGTCAGGGTATAAGAAACCTCATTCTATGATATGCATATTAAATTTCAATACAAGTAAGAAGTTGGCGCAATCACTAATTTAGTTTAAAGTAAGCACAGATGAGTTGACTACGGCTACGCCGACATCTTCTGATTTCAACTATATCAGTCACTGCCTACGCCACGCTGCATTAGTGCTTTAATCAGACATAGCGGAGGCGTTACTTTAGTTAAGTTAGGAACTTTTTTATCTATATTTAACTTCTATATTTCCACTAACGTTCTATGATTCACTAGATGCATTTGAATTTAGTTTTTATTCCAAGCTTGTCAATTTTGCTTATTATTTTCCTATACCCGTGCTCTTAAATAATAACGGATTTTTGTTACACAAGGTTATCTACTTGGACTTATAAAAAAATATATAAAAATATTAATAAATTCGGTATAACACACATCCCAAATACAAGCCTGTTAAGCGGTCTTTACAGAAAACGTACAGACCATATTTGCATACATTCCCGTTTGGCCGGTGACATCTGAACATTTTTCGGTGCATTCGCAACACAATGGTCTGGACTGATCGGGCCCCATAAATATGGGGCCTCGAGGATTTACATACAATCTGCGACGGATGATAGGCAGCCGGCTGCCGAAACAACGTTCCGCCAACCGAAACGGCACCGATTAAATTTAAGAATACGTTCACATTAGCGATTGAACCTCGAATGATTTTATAATGTTATTGTAACACGATCAGTAAAAACATCACTTGAAATTTTAATATTAAAAATATAAGAGTTTTTTTTTTGTGATATGAAATGAAACAAAAAATAAATGGTTTTTGAATTCATAGTTCCGGGATTTTGAAGCAGAGTGACCGATGGTTCCATTTATCAGCTTCGATGACGTAATGCCTGTTCCGGCTTAACTCATGAGTTCAGACGCTTTCATATTTTTTTAGTAAATCGAATCAAAGGTTCAAAGCGCAGATTGTAATGGAGCCGATATTTTGAAAATTCCAATTAAATAATAATAAAAATATTAACTAAAAACACGGCGTCTATTTGATTTCTCTTCAATGCAAACTTTTGACTATACACTAGTTGACTTTAATTTTCTCAAACTAATGAGTGATCTAGCAAAAATGATATTATCACACACCGTTCTAATATATGATGTTAGAGAAGCTTTATGCTAAGCTAAGCATGGACTAGTCAAGTTCAAGTCTTCGCTATCCGTTGGTCCGTCCGACAGCTGACTCTGTACTTGTGTACCGTAATAAATAGAAGCTTTGTATTTTCAATGAATATGTACTTTTATTAAAGCTTTTATTCAAATTGAAAATAGGAAACCTCCCCATTCTCTACTTGGGAAATGTCAAAAACAAGCATTATGCAGTGGGCCGAATAAGCTGAGCTCTTCGCAATTTGCGAATACGAACAGAAATTCGCTGTAAATTCGCCAATGTGAGCGCGTACCGCGCGGGTCATTTTTACAGCACCCCTAATGAGAATGCGCATCGCACGGTACTGTATGTCGTTACTTTACTGACGTTTATTGGACAACTGATTTACGATTTACGTTCGATTACGAAATCCGTTCATTCTTAAAAATATATTCAATTCATTCTGAACTATTTCAAATACATATTAATATGAATAGGATTTATTTATTTTATGAACTAGTAACGCCTAAGCAAAGATTTTATTAGCGAATGGTTTTTGTTTATTTAACGACACTTACTTTTCAACGATTTCAGCAACACTGAATGAAGATTGTTAAATACCTTTGCAGGTGATATTTACTTAATAAAACCTGTTTTTTTTATATAATATTTAATTTATTTCCTTAATCACTTTTTTCAATCAACCTTGACACGGACAATATTTTTCATGAAGAGAAAATTCGAAAACCGGCGCCACAGACATTTTAATATGTGGTTAATAGTTTCTTAACTTGAACATTGCCATATCAACAAATATAATAATATATAACTAACATAGATTAAGTTTTATTTCACGAAGAAAGACAGAAAGTATGAGCAACAGCACTTGTATTTATACTTACTATAATTCATGTAGTTTTATTTACAAACAGAATTCATTATTGAAATACTTGTCTTTCTTTTTCATTTATGCGTTTCCACATCATGAAACCGATTGAAATATTGAGTCGATATTTTTAACTTAACAATTAAGATCAGACTAATTCTGTACTTAAATATTTCACGAGCAATGTAATGCACCGTGGGTGTTCCGCCGAATACTGGAGAAGTACAATGATCAACACATGCTACCTAAACTTTGCGGCAGGAATACAGCGCCTATCATAAAGGGCTTAAGTACGAGTAGTATTTAAAAGCCGAAGTATTAGTTGCATAATACGCAAAGTCATACTGCGCTGAAACCGTATCGTTTACCGAATTTACTGCCATGCTCATAATGGTGTACTTAATGGGTTCTTATAAATTCGCCTTGCTTTTTGCCGGGGTCATGATACTCAAATCCTCATTTTGGTACATTAGTTGGGTATTAAGCTGCGACATGACATCAAACGCGGTACAGGAGAATGTTGTGTCGGCGTATCATTTGGTGATTCACTTCAATGGCTTACTCGATACTTATTTTGAAGACGACCTTTAACATCTAGTTGTAGGTACGGTTACAGTTAGCTGACATTATTACAATGTTTCTCAACTCAAAAATGGAATAAACAAATAAGAATTCAACTGACTTAATATCAAAAAGATGCTAACGAGAAAAACAAAGATAAAGTTACTTTTATACGTAATCAAATAATTACATAATTATGTTTTATTTTTATTTTTTTAAGCATTTAACTGCTAGATGTTTAAATCTAAGAAAAAAATTACTAGAAAAAAAAACTATTCTATATGCTATTTCTTCTTTCAAATGTTTAATACTTGAAAAAGTATTAATTTGACATTGTGGGTTACCTACAATGCGAAGAGATGGCGCTGCCTTGCAGCTTAAGTCTAGGAAAATTTCGACGCGGCCATCACGGCTGTGGTAGCATAATTGGTCAGTGCATTCACCCGGATTGCGAAGGGTGCGGTTTCGAGTCCCGTCCGCTGCCTGGTCCGCGTGGATTTTTTCTAGTAAAACTTTTCTTTAGAAGTACATATTCGATAATACAATTTAAAATCGTTATGAAATTTTTAGATTAAGAAATCAATATCGACATTCCTTTGGATGTAAAATTAATGAAATTACTATAGATTGAGTACTACAGATAAATTTGCCAATTAAGAGATTCAGTCTACGGTGAATTTTAGTCCGCGTTGTGCGTTCGATCCGATATAAAAGGATGGACCCAGTATTATCTTTAACAAAACTTTTATTTTTTATTTTTCTTAAGCTGCATGTTAATCACAACGCAACATAATCTCAGAATATTTGCTTCCATAACGTGTGTTTCTACACTACATGTTCGCACAAAAATGTCCGCACAGAGTGTGCGTTAAGTCCGTAACAAGTCCTAGGCGGACGTTTTTCGGTCAGTTTTTACTTTTATTACAAAAGCTTTAGAACCATACTAATACTCATCGAAATCGGTTTAAAAGCTTCTTTCACAAAAAAAACAACAATAAAATACACAGGCAGACAGGCAGAATAAATATCGACTATTTTTACTTCAATAAACAAGCTAGGCCCTGACGTGTAAATAGCTGCTACAAAACTCTGTGGTTTTCTAATGCTATAAAAACCACTACTGTTTATCAGGATAAATAAATTATGAGAAAAATGTGGTTTTGTGTTGCGAGCTGATAACGATTTTATTGCAGGTGGTGGGCCAAGAGTTATTGGCGGCTGGGCAGTACCAGGCCGCCGTCACTGTTCTAGAGGCAGCTCTCAGGATCGGATCCTGCTCCATGAAACTAAGGTAGGTAATCGATGCTAATATTTTTTTACCTACGGCTTTCACAGATAGTCTAACCTTAGTAAGCTTATTGTAATGTAATTCTTAATACTAATCCCTAATAATGTATTTGTTTGTTGTGCTATCAAGCCTAAACCAATGAACGGATTTGGGTGTAATTTGGTCCGCTTGTAGTTTATGATCTGGATTAATATGATCCAAGAAAATTTTTGGTTCCGGTAAAATTCTCAAAAAACCAAAGTTAACAAGGAAGAAGTCGCGGGCGGCTATTAACCTAATATGTAATAACAATTTTGATATTTTTGTTTACCAGCTATAAGAAAGTACCCTATGTTTTTATGCAAACTTTATTTCCAAATCAAAATAAAACCGATGTACAGACAGACAGGTGGATAAATATACAGGGTTACTTTCGTATTTTTAGTATAAATATTGCTAAAACCAGACTAATAATAATTAACGTCTCATTCGACTAAAATAAAAAGTAAATAGCAATATCTAATTTAAATGCCCAAGTTTCATGCTTCATTCGATTTTGAAGTCGCGTTTTCTTTATAAACAGTCACCTGGCTTCTGTCATGATCCGAGAGTCCGAGACTGGTGCTTTACAACAATTTCACGCCTCAAGAGATCTTCCGGCCTAGTAATAATTAGTGTAGTTTTAGGTTTTTATAACCTAATAAGTAACAAAAACATTAATATTTAGGTTTACTAGCTATGTTTTTATCCAAACTACATTTCCAAAACAAAATTAACCGAAATTAGTACAGCAGTGTAGCCGTTTTTAATATAATGATGATACTTTAGAATTTTTAATATAATGATGCCAGCCCGTAAAACAAAGTTTGGTTGTATAGCGGTGTACACCCCCACGCCTTCCAAGCTGTTTGAGGTTGGGTTCTGCAATATACGTGGACTAATTAACCTCAATGCTGTCCACCACTATCTAAAGACAGCACGGACGGAGACACAAATACTTCCGCCCGCTAACACAGGCGACCTCAACATGAAGAGTCCTTCAAAGCGAAAGCCGGTTTATGCCTATATCTTCGGGCAGATCTTTGTTATCGCCGTTTGAGCTGCCCGGTAGACCTCTTCTTCTCCATGTTAGCGGTACATGTAGACTCTGGTCCTTTGGCCAGAATCTATATAATCTGGGGTCCTACAAGAGAGGCGTGAAGAAGCATTTTTGCAAGGCTGAAAAAGTTTATAACTGCTGAGCCAGCTATCTTCGCGTCTTGACTTTATCACCACTTACGAGTAACATCAGGTGGGGTAGAGTAATTTGCCTATCTATAAAATAGTAGATATTGCGAAAACCAGATGATTAATTAACGTCTCATTCGTCTAAATTACAAAGTAAATAGTATAAATCAAAAATACAATACCTCATTTAAATTCCCAAGTTACACGCTTCATTTGATTCTGTAGTCGCGTTTTCTTTATAAGCAGCCGCCTGTCTCCGGTCATGATCCGAGATAGGTGCTACATAACAATTTCACACCTCAAGAGATCTCCCGACCTTATAATAATAAGAAGGCAAATGACTCCATTGCGAATCTTCGTTCATTAATGCCGTAACATTATTATTTTTAATCGCCAACCGTATATAACAAGTTGACAGTGGATAATTTACACACCAATGATCCAAATGCGAGCATCCACATCCTATATCTAAGGGGGTAAGGTCGATTTTGTAATAGTTCGTTTTCACACACACACACACACACATGTGATACTTACGGTTATCTTTTTCGGAATTTCGACGTTTTGATTTATAACATACGAGTGTCGAGGAATAAAGACTTCATAAATTCCAGTCTACATGCAAGACAAGCGGAGCCGTATTAAAAGCAATGCACCCTAATTGACATTTCAGAAATTTTAGCGATCCAATCGTATGGTATAAATTATTGCCCACCTGTGTGTCTCCACGATTGTCTGTCGGTATTTCATTAGAGAAAATATTTAATAGCCACCTGGTATATTGCGCACATTTTATAATGACATTGAAAATGGCGGCGTCTAATTACCTCCAACTCACATAATGCTTTATTAGCTTGTTATATGTATGCCGCAGGCGGCGTGTTAACCACGCTGTTATGTCAACTCTTTACATTTTTTTATATGTTAAAAGGGAGGTTAACAAGCATATCGACCCTTCCAGGATGAAACGTAGTAAAAGCCAAAACGATATTCTTCAATACGGCCAAAAAACAAAAACGGTGAAGTTTGTTTCCCGTATATTTTTTGATTTGCTTAATTTATAATAAACCACTGTAACTCATTAAGCTTAGGTTTTCGGGTTGCTTACTAATAAGAAACTCGGAATAGCCTACATTCATTAGTTCCAGAGATGGCATGGCTTTTACTACAAAAAAACAAGTTGTAAATGGTTTCTACGACATTTTATTTCTGCTTGGCAAATGTAATCTTTTTTCCTTGAAGTTGTATAAGACTTCATAAATTGTTTCATTAAAGGGATTTTTGAATTAAAAGACAATTGTAATACGAATAAAGTTTAATTTAGTGAAGTAAATGCAACTAAGTGCACGGCCTATTGCCCATCGCACCGCTCCCCGTCTGCTGCGGAAGGACTGCGCAGTTCCCCTCGCAGGCCCTTCCGCGGCCCTCTCATGTAGGTTAGGTACAAAAGATAGCTGACGCCACCGAATCCATCGGTGGCTGGCACGGCTAACGCCATGCCGCCGGGCAGCAAGTGATTCAATTAGATAGGGTCACTGCACGTGCGCAGCCAGGGCACACCTTCGCCTTCCCGTGCCTGTTCTTTTGCGGTGGCAGGGGACGGCCAGAGGATTGTCCTCCTGTCCCCCCTCGGCCTCCTCCTACTTTGAGATGACGTCGTCACAGTGAGAGGCGACTCCTTCCAAGCCGTCTCACTACTGTGCATAGCCTTGACCATGCTCGGCAGCGAGAGAGAGAACCTACTGTCCTAGGTAAACAATTCAACACGACCCTGCTATTGAAAACACGAATTTTGGGGCCCACAACTAAAGCCAACAAGCCGTACTTACGTCTAAGTAACGTCTAGAACTTCGTTTACATAGAATATTGGTTTCTTCTACCATCACATCCACATACATCCTTTATTTTTTCACTCCTTGTAATAAAAAAACTGTGATTAATCGAAGCCTTTTCCGAAGTCCCTAGTATGTCTACATCAAAATTGTTAGTAGTATCGTGTCTTTTACTACAAAATTTTCAATAGTATTATTTTCCAGTACTGTATTATATATGTTGTATTGACCGTGGAATGATAAAATATGTCTCTTACTACATAAATTTGAAAAAAGTATTTCCAAAATTGCTCATTATAACATTTTACAAGAAGAAAAATGGGTTTAGGGCATGAATTGGAGCGTGTTGTAAAAGACATTTTTTCGCGAATTTGAACATTTTAAATATACAGATCGATAGAGCTCGCGATTCTGATAAAGAAACCGTTAAAAACAGATTTTGGGTAAAATGGCTTTTACGACGTTTCATCCTGGAAGGGTCGATATGGCTCGCCTGATTGTAAGCAGCCACCAAAGCCTATAGACGCTTGCGATACCAAAAATATCACCCTGACCCAATTTCCTACCCCTTGGAGCCCTGAAAACTTACTCACCGACAGAAACACAAAACCACGCAAAGGTAGTGTTATTTTAGCACATATATACGAGATATGTTGGTAGCATAGCATTTATGCATTGCGTCTACGCTTACAATACTAAAGTATCATTTGCGCAGTATCACCCTGAGCCTTTAAAACCTTACTCAAGAGTAGAATAGTACAACACCAACATAGGGTGATGTTATTTCACTGTGGTCTTCTGTGAACGGAGCTCTCATTCGAGGTAAATATTCGTTATGCCCTACCTGTCTTTGATGGAAATGGAAAGTCAACTTTGTTTTTTATTTTAATCCGAATGATAGTTATAAATAAAGAATCGATAATTCGCCTTTAAAACCAAAGATTTTTTTTATTAGAAAAAAAATATATTTGTTTGTACATCTATACCCCATTTATAATCTTGTAATACGTAAATTGTTTTCCATATTGCGAGAAGTAAGGGCCCGTTCCAACTCGGCGCTTGTGAAATCTACGAGACAATTTTAAAAATAATGCGTATTGTATAAAACCTTATGAATAATTTATGTAAGCTTTATCAACTGTGGGTAAGTGATTCAAGGCTTGAAATGAGTAAACTTTGTGTTGTATTGTATACCCACCTGTTTATTTATTCTCCTAGTGTTTGCAATTCATCTTGTGTTCGAGGTGAAAAATGGACAAAGTTTGTGCGTAATGCGTAAAACAACTATTGGCCATATAAAAACATAACCAATAAATGTAGAAGTATATTTTATATATCAATTATCATCATTTTTTACTTACATGGAGAAGGTACAAACAATTCAACAACTGGCAATACGCGTTTTATTACTTCTTAAGACTACACAGACTCAATTTTAATTTTTGATAGGTGATACAAAATAAAAAGGTAGCCGCGTTGTATATTTATATTATGGTAATATGCAAAACCTGAATAAATTTTTCTGTACTATAAACTTAAATATAAAAAGCCATAGAAAAAAACGTATTTTTGTTACCTATGTCTGTCTATCTTTTTCTACTCAACGAAGGGAATATAAATAAAAATATAATGTAATGGAAACATGTTAAATTAAACGTTTATTAATTTTGTTACGAGCGTTTGTTTTCGAGTTCGTAACAAAAGTCACAACTAATATTAACTTAAATTATATACCATATTAATATCCATTGTTTGCAAGGGCACAATTAAAGGAATTTCCATCAAGACACATAAATTTGTATCCGCGCATTGTGTGCGTGCATTGTGTGCATTTGAAGCGAAAACAATTTGTTACATAGGAATTGATAATTCCTTGTTTATTTCTGCTGTTCTAAAAGTTTATAATGAGCCATAACCCTTTATAGTTGGATTTATATAATACCAGCTGACCTGGCGAACTTCGTA